GCGGGGCAGGACGCGCGGATGGAGAGGGTGTTGGGTAGGATACGGGCCGCGGGGCAGGTCACGCTCGACTCGATCGCGTCGTTGTACTCTGGGTCGGACGACGGCGAGGAGGGGGATGGCGACGAGCGGTCTGAGACGCCCACGAACCGCGCGTACGGAGGCGGGCACTCGAGGACGGATAGCCAGCAAAGAGTTGCGAGCCCGCTTAGTATGGCGTTGGGAGGAGGGTCGAGGAACGCGACGCCCGTGCAGTACGCGCAGCCGCCGCATTTGAGGAGTATGAGCGCCGCGAGCGTTATGAGCGGCGAGTCGGGGTACCGGACGGCTATTGGCTCTCCCGTTCCATCCTCCGTAGCGCATTCGTCGTCGAGTGGGCATGGGAATGCGAATGGAGCTGGGTCGAGGGCGAACACGACTACGCCTACTCAGAGCCACAACCACGCTCAGCAGAACTTCGGCGCACTAGGCAACGGAATGGCGAACGGGAAGCCGAAAGTGTACATCCCGCACGACGACTTTGGCGTGTCCCGCATGCTCGCCATCATCGAGCTCGCCGGGCTCTCGGGCAAAGCCGCCCTTCTCGAACAGAAAGAGCGCGAACGAAAGGCGAAGAAAGACGGGCTCGAGGACGTGCTCTTCGGTCCGGACTTGCGGGGCGTGATGCGGGGGCTGCATCCGAGCGTGCGCGAGGTGTATGAGGGGGGCGTGAGGGGGCTGGAGGAGATGGATCGGGCGCTGGACGAGGTTTTGGAGGGGCTGAAGGTTGGGCGTTAGGATTGGGATGGGTGGTTCGAGGCGTGATGTTGATGCTGATGTTGAAGGGTGATGTCGCTCGTGGAATTTATTCAGTGTTTTTGCTCCCAGTCGCTCGTTTGATGGTTTTTATACCTCTGATCGTATACCTCGTTTTACTTTAGTGGCTTGCTCAGGATATATCTATCGCTTATATGCGCTCTTTTCATGAAACTTGGGAGACCTCTTAATGCCTTCGGATTTGTCTGGTCTACATGACGTAGTACGAGTAGTCCTTGGATATCTGGTACATAGGGGAGCGCGAGCGTTTCGAGGCCCGAGCGGTGCGTCTCGAATCCGTTGATGTCGGGTTAGGGTTATGACGCGCCTCGACGCTTGCCACAGCACGCGCAAAACCGCGACTTGACCAGAAACCATCAGGACAGACTGCCCGCTTCAGTCCTTCTACGAGGCAATATCGTTGTCTTGCACCTCACTGTATTGCCATTTATTGTGATCTCAATCCTTGATCGGGTCGATTGCATTGTAAACCCGAGGCGGACTTGATCTACCGATCCGTGACCGTGACCCCGATGCTCTCGCTGCTGCCTCGCGCCGTTTCGTGACTCCGCAGACCGATTCTTGAATCATCGTCGACTGCCGCACTGCTACATGAAAGTCTCAATTCACCTTACCGCCCACGGTTCCCGAAGGAACATCCCTACGCACTGATCTTCTGCGGAGGGGAGAGAATTAGCTTATGCCGTAAGAATGCACTATCCGCTCTCCGACCCTGTTTACACGTTCATGAGGCTCTCACAGCACTTGTACCGGTACAGCGAGGACATCAAGCCACCATTCATTGTCGACATAATCTACAGCACAGGGACATCGCAAACGCTACGCTGGGTCATCGTTTGGCCATACTTCGCGGGCCGAAGAGTTTGCCCAACTTCCTTCTCAAGCTCAACTCGTCACGTCCTGCGCCCTCCTCTGGGTGCTCTGCATCGCCCTCCCCTGCGGACGAATCGGCCTCTTTCAGGAGCCCAGTGTGGGTGGCTGGACTAGGTACGTAGACTCTTAACTTGTCGCCAGCCTCCGAGCCCGTCTTATCTTCGTGCATATCCGCAGGGCGAACGAAGGGCGTGCGCCTCGGTATGCTGGTTCGAGTCGAGAAGGCTAGAGATGTGCGTTGTTGTGGCTCGGTAGGTTGCTGACGTTGGTGCAGCGTATCCCGAGCTGCCTTCGCGGCTGTCTGCCGTGCATGCGCATCCTGTTCCCAGCCCATGGCATTCACCCTCGCACTTCCGCCACTGTAGTAGAACTTCGGCTTCGTGTCCTCGTCGCCTGGGTGAACGTATCGCTCCTGAGTCGTTTGCCACCGGCCGATCTCATCATTTGCGTCAGGTTCATCTTCGCTACCTTCCGGATCACTCCATTGCGAGGCCGGGTAATGGAAGGTGTTGACGTTTATATTGAATACAGGGACCTTGGTCAAGGGGGATACGTGTGACTTTTGTATCGGGAGTGGCTCCTGCATGTCAGCATAAGTTGCGCTAGCGAGCTAGAGTTGCGATATTTGAGCTTGATGCAACTTCAATGAGTGGCCATTAAGACCGTGCACATACATCATTGTTGCGATACTTGTTGAGCCTTGCGAGCCTGCCGAACGGCGTCTCGATGTTCTCGGCCGGAGCATATCCTATCTCTTGAGTCTTCAGTACACGGACCAGCCACCAATAATCGTTGCTGTCATCCATTAGTACGAGATGGTCTCCTTTCTTCATATGGGCTTGTCCTTCCACCGTCGCGACGAACGTGTGAAGTGCGTAGACAAGGTCGAAATCAACACTGTCGTCAGAGATAGACAGCTCAGAAGATAGATCCGAGTATTCCGCGTCCTCGTCGTCGCCTTGAGCACTCTCTTCGTCATCATCGCCGTCTTGTGTTACATCCGTATTGCCGATGATAGGAGTATCAGCCCCCGCTCTGATAACATCTGGCTTGTCTTCCGTCGCATCATTGCCTGCCAGTTCCTGGGTACGTTCTGAACTTGAAGGTGTGGCGGAGCCATGTCTGCCAGTCGTCAACGTCGACGTGGGCATATACACCACGGTACACACCCTTTCACCGGTAGCTCTACCACGATCCTGTGGAAGATCCCATGACTGTGCCCTGGCACGTCGTCATGAGCGGTGAGCTCCGGGAAGTCCTGAGAAGCCGCTTCCGCAGTTAACTCTCGATGATCTCGATGAGCGAGTGATCGTCCGCGAGAGAAGGGAGTTCTGCATATCGAAAGACGTTGAGCGGCGAGTAAGGCGCGTGCTGATCGATAGGGTCTACCTTCGCGAGTTCGGTATCTCGGAGAGGAAACCGGCCTTCTTTAGATGCTGATACGACCCATAGGCGCGACTGCATCCCGAGCTGAGCGTATGTGCATAAGCATCGAAGCGAGTGAACACATAAAGTGAGTTACACACCATACGATACGAGCGTCGCTCAAGGACATCTCGTCTCCAGTCGAGGATGTCCGACAGTATGGACATTGGAGCGCGGATTGACGCATGATAATAGACATGCTATACACGGCGCCGGGTTTGACGAGTTCCGGCCAATCTTCCGGTGAAATAAGCGGATGTTCGGAAGAACCCAGTCCGTAGTCGCGATTCTTCACGTAGAGCTGGCCGAACGGTCGATCCTTGAACATTTGAAGTATGAAAGTGTGTGTTCGCTATCGGTGTACGAGGATTCCATGAGTATCTTCGTGTCGTAAGGAGAACCATGGAACCGGCATGACGCACCTCCCACGATGAGAACGTGTCCTCTGACAAAATGAAAGACAGTCCAAAGACGTCCACGACTGTGATTGTTCCGCAAGGATTCCCAAGAGAGCGGGTTATAGAGTTGAGTTTGCAAGCCATGAAAAGTAGGAGGAATGTGCAGGCCATCAATAGAAAGTTTTCGACGAGACGTGCTGGGCGATGGACGAGGATGTAAGCAGGGACAGATGCAGAGACAGACGTGGGAGGAAGAGTGAGGGTGTTCAGGGGCGGGACGCCAGATTCAGTCGCGCACAAGAAAAGCAAAGACAGCGCCTTCCAGATAACGTCCTGATCTTCGGCGCTAAATCTTAATACGATACATCGCAGTTCACGCCCCCACTTATCCCAGTCCACAGATGGAAGAGACACGGTGATATTGACCTGACCAGGTCGAACCGATGCCTCACTGCGATGCTGGTCTGATCGTAGACTTGAGCTTCACTTCCGGCAAGTTAAGTCTTGGGATAGCTCACATGTGTTTGAGCTGATACTTATTGTATCTTCGCAGGATCCTTCAGGTGAGCCGCGGACATTTGTGGTCGCTACTTCAGAGCATCATTAGGAAGATCTTCAGCGGTGGGGACAATATCTCGCCTCGTTTGACTAGAGCCTGGGTCGTTGTGTCGATTCGCTCGACGATGGATTTTACAGCGTGAAGCGTTGCACCAACTGATCAGTAGATGAGCCATCATAGCAAGACGACTTCAAGCTCGGATGGTTCACATACCGTGGCGTGAAGCTACCGATAGATCGTGCACCCCCACAGTAATCTCAGCGATTGACATCATCTCCGTGTCTACAGCGTGAGCACGAAGCCTCTGCAATGCTTCCTGAACGTCTCCCGATTTGGTGAGCAAAGTCTTCACGAACATCTCTAAGAGGAAAATGTTGTAAGCGATACAAGCCTGTATCATCCTCACACATGGACGTACTGATGCGGCCCTGACATAATATTCTTGTGGAGAGAGCGAGGGATTGAAGCATCATTACTAGACCATGTATGGCCAAGTCTCGCGCTTGTTGCGAAAGAGGCGCCTTCACTCGCACTTGCAATTGGGAGACATAGGCGCCCAAGCACTCGAACACTTTCTCCATGTCATCGAGCTTTGCACCAACACGCTCTGCAGTCTTAGCGCACACGCGTACTTATCAGAGCGAGATCTACGTGTTTATGGATAGACACGCACCATAAGCAGCACGCCTATAGCGGCAAATATGCCTTTACCGCCGGGAAGGCCCTAATGTTGCCCGTTTCAACTGCGTGGACAGGGAAGAATAGGAAATCACAAGTAGCGCACCGCAGAGCTTGCTGTCTCAGCACTCGCATCCAGCAGGACACATAGTCCGTGTAGGATAGGTTTCAGAGCGTCGCGAAGTTTCCTGGGTCCGCGATTGCCTTTACGTCCGTCGCGAAAAGTGCGCGACGCACTTTCGAGAACGTCAAGGAGCGCATCGGTGTCGTCATTCAAACACGACTGTATTGCCTGCACCAGGGGATCGTTGGGGTTGGTGATGTCTACTCCAGTTATCCGATGATACTCGTCGAATGCAGCTCTCAGCAGTTTGTTGAGGTTCGTCGTCGCTGTAGACTCGGACGGCTCAGAATTAGATGACGACACGTCCAAGGCTGCGAGCGTCGCAGTATGGTCAGAGCCTGCTTGGGGTGAAGAGCGAGAACGAGTGAGAGAGAACCGGCGCATGGGGAGAGTCAAGTGTCTCGTCTTCCTGTATCAGGATTTCGAAGTAGTCTCATGGCTGTGTGATTGATTGCCTCGTGGCGTTGACAAGATGCCTGCAGCGCTCGGGCGCCTATCCGCGCCACTAGCGCACATCATTCCGAATGTCGTGCACTCTGCTCATGCTTGACAGTAGTGAGCTCCGCGGGAGATCGGTGGAATCATGGTGGCGGTCAAAAGATACACTGCGCCGGGCGGGTTTGGCCCGACATTGGCCGCGTGACGTCACGCGTAAGTTGCGGGTCGCCGATACTCAGTCTTACGTATGAAGCCGTAGAGTGAACCAACAGGTCCTTTGATGAGCGATGGCTACGTATGAGCATCGGCTCTAAATCAAAGGTGGCGAAATGAGCGTTGAATGTATACACCAGCTAGCCTAGCGGCCCCAACTCCGTATTTTTGTCTATGAGTAGGACTAATCGTACTTAGAAGACGGACAGAGATTTACAATTTGGGATAGTACCCACAAAAGCAAAGTATTGCTACAGCTTCAGTATATACGCACGATCTACGTACAGCTTTGAGGCAAGCAACATCTTTACAGAACGCGCGGGATGAACATGTACGGCACTTTGCTCCTCCATTCCTCCCATCTTCTCCCAAACTTCTCATGCAACATCCTATCCTCCGCAGGCACGCGCAAGATCAACGTCGCCAGCTGCATCGTAGCAGCAATAGCCATGATACCAACACATTTGCCCAAGCGCCCATCCCACACGCACGCCTCCGTCCACCACGATCCCTCAGACAACTCGCATGCATATAGCCCAGCGATGTTGAGAACGAGTGCGGTGTAGCCGGGATGTCGTACGTATGCGTATGGTCCATGCGTAACCAGCTCGTGGTCCTTCAGGAGAGTGAGGTCGAAGATGAAGTGATGGCCCATCGCGTGATATGACCATAGCCGTAAGGTAGCGCCGAAAGTGGCGGAGAGGACGCCCAAGATGAGGAGCGGAGAGATATGTCCGGAGTTGGATAGTGCTTCGGCAGGGCGGCTTCCGGTATCGATGAAGCCACTCGCGAATGCAATCTCAGCAAGCAGCACTCCCGTTACGAGCACCTGTGAAACTGATTGTTAGAAAAGGGGATATGGACTGTCCGCTGCAGAGACGCACGTTCACGGCCAAGCGCCCAACATCGTATCTCTGCAACCTTCGGAAGATTGACCGAGCAACACCCCCCGTAGGAGATGGAGCGTAATCGGTAGGCTGAGCGGGAGGTGTAGCGACGACCATATAACTCGCCCATGCGAGCGCTAGGCAGGTAAGCTTCCATAGCGACATCGCTGCGGCGCTCAGTTGCTCGGAAAGTAGCTGGAGGGCTGTGAGCTGGAAAATTCGAACTATGAGTTCTTGCTTTGACCTACTTTATAAAAGACAGCGCATCACGAGGGCGGACCTGTGCAACTCTTTCACAGAGCGCTGAGGGAGATGTGGTTCCCTAAAGTTGTCGTCGAAGCTGTCGATGGGTTAGCGCCGTAAATGTCCATGACGCGTAAGCTCTGACCTTAGAAGCAGATTCCTAGCCCCGGAGTTGGATTCGCGACGTGTGATGATGAATCATATACTGGGGACGTTCAGTGAACTACAAGTGTCACGGAGATCTCTTCTTATGTGCGCGTATGAGCCTGGGGTTGCGCGCGGGGTGGTCTGCGCTCTGCCGCGCTTGGGAATGAGGCTGTTGGCGGGCGCAAATGGTTCATCTGACGTGGGCTGTCACCAACTCAAAGGGCAAGCGCGCGGTAGGTTCAGGTTGCTGGCGGATGATCGACGCCTTTCGGAGATTCCGGTAGTCCGCGTATTCCCAATTCTCAGTTGATATGCCGAGCCCATCGTCTCCTCCTGGTATTGCCCGCAGAGCATGAGGACCTTGGAGGCTACCTCGTCGTAGAGCGGGTCGAAGACGCGACTGAGAGTAACGGGCCAGATTCGGAGTAAGACCCGCGGCAATTGCCGGGATTGCCTTCGATATGACGTCCTGTCTGCGCCTTCTGAACGTTTCTGAACATGAACCGCCACAATCGACTTGGAGAATAGCTGCAGTACAGCTGTAGAGCTCATGTTATCTCATGTCGATACTCTAGATGACTACCGAGTGAACAAGATATTGCGCATAGTGACTACTATGAACGTGCAGAGGTCGATGCCCGGTGTGTATTACCCACACAAGTCAATAAGCGCGGGCGGCAAACTACGTGTGATGATGGAGGAAGCAGTCATGTAGCTCTACGCTTATGACTGTCGTGCGTACCGGACGGTCATGCGCTGCTTGAGGGCGGCCTCCTCCGCGTCACTAATCGCCTCGCGGAATACTCGTTGCACCGCCCGTGCAAACCGTCCGCCCCGAATCAACATTTGCGCCACATCGACACTCCGCCCGCCCGCCTCGATCGTTCATATAAGCCGGGCTCGTCCATACTCGACCAGGTATCTCTCGGACCCCACCACAATCATCAGTAACATGTCTCAGAGCGCACAAGATCCCGAAGCTACTGCGTTCTTGGTGCGTCTCGCCGCTGGCGACCTTGACGCGGCTGTCGGTCCCGCTCTTGAATACGAAGCCGAGTTACGCCGACTCTTCGCCCAGGATCGCTCGAACCGACGTCTCTCTGATCCGTACGTCGGTCTCGTCGATGTTTTTGCCTGCGATCCGGCCGTACTGGATACTCAATCGCGCCCCACGACCAATGACAAGGAACACATCTTCCCGCTGAAGCCCTCCGAACGACGTGCATCTGGGACTCCGGCTCTTGCGACAAGCCTTGCAGAGTTTCAGCGCAACTGGTCTATCTTTACGGAAGGCGCGCTATCCCAGCTCGACTGGTCAAACATCGTAGTCGCCGGCGGTGCTGTACAAGCATGTCTGGCTCCTCTTCCGGAAGGCGCGGACGACAGCAAGAAGGGGCTTAGGAAGCGGTTTCATGAGAGCGATGCGTATGCAGGCAGCGACATCGATCTCTTTCTATACGGACTGGATCAAGCAAAGGTGAGATCTCGCGCTCTTTCGACAAGATACGGTCGTTCTCATGAACACTGTGTAGGCGGAGAAGAAGATTGAGCACATCTTCGAAGCCATACGCGATGCAGTTCCTTGGGACGTGACGGCTGTCCGCACGGCGCATGCAGTGTCTATACATTGTAAGTCATATACTTACACTACTGTACTTGTATCTCTGAGGCTGACACGTATCATCTGCAGACCCCCTTTAGCATGCTAAAACCGTGAACTATGGATAATGACAGGTCTTTTGCCCTGGCTAATGGCAGATAAAGACGCGTCATCATGGCACTACGGTCTAAGGGATAAGCAATTGTCAAGTATGAGATTGAACACTTTGCCCAAGTCGGTCCCATGGGTGTAGACAGCCACCTGTAACTAGTTCCGAGCCGACCCATATGTAAAGGTAGCTAATTCCGAGGGTGCCTGACTGCAGCACAGACCTTCGGAAGTACTGACACGTGACCCAGATTTTAGCTGTCTTTCAATCGTCGGAACCGGGGCATCTGGAACATCCGAGGCGATCCTCTGGGATTTTGGTTCATATGGGTATCCGGATGTTGGCATCTGTTAATAAATATATTGCAGACCCATATATACTGTATGTATCAAAGTTCCGAGACTAGGGTTTAAGGGTTCCAGGCCTACGAGTTCCTGACCCAAGGGCTTTTATCGGTTCCAGGTGTTGAGCATAACCCCCCTCCAACGCGGGCACAAAGTTTCAGTGCTGAAGCCCTTCGCTCGGCGCCGATGACGGCAGTATATGATGTCGGCGCCGCCTGCCGCAGCAACTATGCAGATCGCACTTCCAGACAGTGCATGGAACTTCATGAAAAGTCCCAAAGGGCGAATGCCGCCCTCTTCCCCCCCTCTCGACGCGCCGTTGGATGAACAGGAAGGAAGGCGACAATCGCCGACACATGGCCGTTCAATGGCGGATGACGAGTGGGAAATGCGCCGGAGGTTGACGCCGCGCGGCTCTGGGCCTAACCTCCAAAACCGCCGGTCGGCGCGATACCCCAGTTCCTCGGTCATTTACGCCGCAAAACCACTGCCTCAGGCAGCGCCGTGAAATCCGGCAGTTTAGAAGCGCCCGACCTGTGACGTGATACGGACAGGCGCTAAGCCAATTCGAAGGTCGACATCTAATTGGAATGCTCACAGTTGCACTCTCCTGAGAGAGTACACTGCCCGTTAGGAGCAGGTTAGCGTAACAATATATGTCAGTATGGCTGAACTGCATGCAATGTTACCAGCGCCATGCACAGACTTTCATGCGTCTCGCACGAACTCAGACTCCCACGAGAGAGATGTTGAAATATAAGAGGCGAGGAGGGAGAGCTCACTCATATGGTGGGTATGGTAGTTGGCAGGGATCGCTTCGCCCTACCATCAGCGATCACACTCAACAAGATCACGAGACCGCGTTGAGTTCCTCAGATTCTGGCCGGTTCTCGGCTCGCCAGCCCGGGTGGGAAGGATCAAACCTCCATCAGTTCCGATCAATGCCGCCGATGGGGCCCCACGCTCCACGGTTTCACTCTGACGGCGGCTAAGGACCGGCCTACTGCACACCATGAGCGACTCATCTGTACCAAATCTTCGCAGCATTGGGACGAGCGTTAGCAGGGACAATGGAGAGATAGGTGGCAAGGACAATAGTCTTCCGGATAGTGGCAGTGTATGTTCGCCAGGTACGCCCAATATATGCAGCGACATTACCCGCTATAGCGTTCATGCACTCCGCGCAGAGATGGTTCCGGATACTGGCTCGCTGGCCACCGTCGAACGCTCTGCTCGCGGTTCAGGAACGCCAGAGAGCGATTCGAGCGCCTCTGTCCAGGCGACTGCCGGCTCTCCTACATCTCCATTGACTAGATTCCTGGACTTTTACGAGGACGACGCTCAGTCTAGTCCCAGCTCTGAGTCGGAGCGGTCTAGCAGTAGCGAATCGGCGCAAAGAGGCACCGACTCTCCAGCGCCCTCCAACATCTGCGAACGTTGTCATCAGAACCTAGACACGCCAATCCCAATCCCCGTCCCCGTCCTTCGCCATCCCCGTTTCAAGACTGCACGGCGCGGTCGGTTCCCGCCGTACACCAGCCGAACGAGCAACGTCGGGCGACGCAGGTTCGTCCACGCGACATATGATGATGTCAAGGCTTAGATTGCAATGGGTTTAGCACCGACGATGCTTCCGATAGCGGCGCCGATGATGATTCCGACAGCGGTGCCTACGACGATTCAGACGACAATTCCGACGATAATTCCGACAACAATTCCGACAACAATTTCGACGACAATTCCGACAGCGGCGCAGACGATGATCCCGACAACGGCGCCGACGCTCTCAGTGATAGACAAAATAGCCAAGATAGCGATGAACATAGCGCAGGCGATGATCTTGAGGTCGGCGCTGACGCTCTGGGGCAGAGCGACGGTGGGGGCAGCTACAACGGCACTAGTGCAAGCGCTGATTCCGAGGGTAACGAGGGCGGCATCGGCACCCCCAACACCGGCATCGGGGATGCTGCTCGTGTCAGGGATCCGCGCTCACCTCCGCCATCCTATGAGGAGGCCGTGTCCAGTGCTGGCGCCTTATCGAGTCTTCGCCCCATGTCGTATGCTGAGGCCGTTTCCACTGCTGGCGCCTTATCGAGTCTTCGCTCTATGTCCTATGCCGATGCTTTATCGTCTATATTGTCTGGTCGCCGCCTGGTTCACCCAGTCGAGCGCCAGCCTCCCGCTACTATGCCCCCTGCCTGGCAGGGTGGCACTGACGCATCGTCCTCGACATCCAGGTTGACGGCGGTCTCCAGCCGTGTTCGACATCGACATGCGCCTTCAGACGATGAAGTTGAGGCTGCCCGTAACCGTGCAGAAGCTGGCCCGGCGCCCAAGAGGATGCGCCGCGATGATTGGAATTGAGCCGATTGTGCGCGATATGTTTGTGCGCGATATGTATTCTCCATATGCGTTGTATTCTGTAGCAGGAAAGTACCACCATCTGTGTCCCGTTACAGTGACTTTATCCGAAGTCCAAAAACCTCTCAAGAAACATCACAGGAAGAAAGCACGATCAAAACATGCAGATGATGGGAACCGCCTGAGACTCGAACCGCTGCTGTACTGTCATGGGAACGTGACCGATACGTCAAAGGGATGACATTCCTTTTGCTAACATAGATTATCTATGTACCCTCATCCGCTTCGCCGTGCGAGTCTCTACATCCGGGCTTAGCATTTTGGCACTAATTGCCGCCGACCACATGACCGCACCGCGACGGATCGTGCGGGGGCCTTAACCCTAAGGCTTGAAACCCAGTTGTCCACAACATCACCCTGACGTACCGGTTATGCTACGGCTGCACAAACCGCCGCTTGCACGTTCGACTCCCTCTCGGGTCTCGTCATCGTGATGTTTTTGCTGCCACTAGTTAAGGAACTTTAAGATGCCGGCCGTGCTTCGGCACCTAGACGACGGGCTCCGGGAACTGCGTGTGCGCTGAAAGTGGGCTGGCGCGACGATACGAGGACGTTTTCGCCCGCCGTCCTCTAATTCTTCATCAGAATCGAGAATAATGACCGGTAGCGAGCCGTCAGAAAGTCAGTCTATCATCAGACGAACGAACGTATGACTCCGAGCGTCGAGCACAGCCCACCTGGAACCGAGGGATCCAAAGGGGATCATCGCCGAGACGCTGACAATGTGACTGCCGAAGCGGCGTGTGCGACTCAATCTGTTTTTCAAACCTCGGTTACTGGAAAACAGGAGACTGACTGATTAAAAACAGAGCATGAACTAAGATTTTAAACAAGAAAACGCTGTCTATCTTGTAAAAAGATGCTGCCATTCAATCTCCGCGTCCAAGTCTACGCCTCTTCCTGGCAGGAGCAGGCGGACCATCCACTTCCACGACGTCGCTATCATCGTCCAGCTCTATAACCTCGCGCTCCGCGGAAAGTTGTTGAGGAACCCGACGGCGCGATGGGCGCTCAGCTGCGGAACTAGGACCTGCCGAAGAGTCGGAGGTTGACGACGGTCCAAGTGCGGCAATGCCGCCGGGAACTGACCGGCCTCCTGCCCGCCGCGGCGCTGGAAGCGCAGCTGAGGCGCGCGCGGGCCGACGGCGCGAAGATCCGCTACCCAACCGCGGATCCCGAGGTGGCGCAAGAAGGGCCTCTGCGTATGTGGGTGGCGCTGAGGTGGGCACAGGGTCCTCAGGCGGCGCGAAGCGGGAAAAGTTAGAAGAAAACCGGTTTTCCTGAGGCGTCGGGTTCTGAGGTGCCGACGGCGCCGGCGGAAGTTCAGACCGAACAAATGATCTTAACGACATGGCAGCCGGCCGGCCACCAGTCGCGGCGGTAGAGGCAGCCGCCCCCGACGATATTGCAGTCCCATCGGTCGCAGGCAGAGGCGCGGGCGGAACAACCGGGGAAGGAGACGACTGAGGCGGAACTACAGCTGCACGAGAGGGCGCGTCCGCGGTGGAATCTGAGCGAGCGCCCGTGGATATACCCGAATTGCCGACGGTCCGAGGTTCCGCGTCGGCGGCCGACCTTGCGTCGGAAGTAGAGGCGCTTGGGGCGGGCTCTTGCGAAGACTCCACTGGGGCAGCCCGGGGATCACTGATCGAGGCTGGCAGGGTCAGATCTGCGCCCTGGGACTCGCATGCAGCGCGGAGGATAGGGTCCGTCACCAGGCCGTATGCGGCCTGCTCAATATCGTCGGCGAGACTGACCAAGCGGGCGTTAGCTAATAGGGCATCCCGACTGACGACGTAGAGGTCGATGTTGCGTCGGAGATAGACCTGTAGAGTTGCGTAGATCGCAGCTTCAATTGGACGCATGGTCTGAATATGTGGGGGAATAGTATCGCTGCTCTGAGCTGCTCGCAAGAACCGCTCATAATGCTCTACAAGAGGTCAGTGATGGTTGACAGGCAGTGAATGGGGTAGAGGCCACTTGCCGATATTCTGGAAGGTGCCGTCATCGAATTGCGCAGGTATATCGAGAGCGATGTCACGACGCGCCGAGACGTTGGCAGGCCGAAACATGTGTTCCAGACGAGGAAGCGCCGGAAGTGAGAACGTCTGCTCTCGCGAGGCCGCTGCGGAAGAACTTGCTGCTACTGATGTGCTTGCCGTAGCAGACGAAGAGCCGGTGGCTGGGAATGAAGAGGTCGCCGCCGAGGTGACCGTAGCAGATCGCGGAGCCGACGACGAGCTCGCAGTTGAGGGCCGAGTGGAACGCCCATGGGGGGCGGCAGACGCGGATACGGTTGCTCTGGCGGCGCCCGATACGGCAGGCAAAGGCGTAGACGAAGAGCCGGTGGCTGGGAATGAAGAGGTCGCCTCCACGGTGACCGTAGCAGATCGCGGTGCCGACGACGAGCTCGCAGTTGAGGGCCGAGCGGAACGCCCATGGGGGGCGGCAGACGTGGATACGGTTGCTCTGCCTGCGCCCAATACAGCAGGCAAAGGTAAAGTTGAGTCGGGCGCAAATTGAGATGGGAAGGGTGTCCGAGTTGTAGACGGCGACTGGTCTGAGTCGTGTCCCAGGCTTGCCGGGCGCCCATGATGAGGGGCGCGACCTTCCGCCATCAGCTTCGGCCGGACAGAGACGAATTACACGGGTCGAAACTCACCATCGCGACGATTGTCACCTAAGGAGACGTTGATGTCAAAAAGGGCCTCCAAGTCTCCGTCATCGTAAACGAGATGCCGACGCGACGAGGCGCCGGGAGAAGGAGTTCCGTCATCTGAGACCTGCGTAGCCCCGAATTCGTGACGAGCTACGTCAGAGCGTCGACGCATGCAGAAACAGTCGAGCCGCTATGGTAAGTTGGGTGGCCGAACCAATGACAGTTGCACTGCGAAGATGAAGGCTGAGGGCAAGTTCGTTGAAGCCGTACACCACGCGGTCACGCGATCCCGGCGCTCAAGTTCAGCTGCGGCGCCGCATGCCCAGGCCCTCGGCAATCGAAGATCATCAGATCACGGCATCATCCGAGGCGCTTCAGCGCTTAGCGGTGGTGGGAAGGTTCAGTTGCTTTCGCTCCCCCATCTCCCTGCTGCATCCGCGTTTGCCCCCCGGCTCTTCCTCGCCATGGTTGTACCGCCTCAATCTAATGCTTCGAGCTCTGCTGTGGATGCGGAAAGCAGCTCCGTAGCGCGAGCAGCGTTCACGAAAGAGGCTCTGCGCGCAGGGGTGATGGCGGGACTTGGCCATCCCGACTCGAGCGTGGTCACCGCGGAAATCCTGGGGCAAGAGGTTCTGCGCTTCATTACTCGAAGGGATCGTCCAACTGCTGCCATTGTGCTTCAGCGCGCGAAATCTGCGCAGGAAGCTGCCGCTGCCGTCGCATACACTCTCAGCTTAGACGCGCTCGAATTGGCTTGGTCGATGCTTCAGACGGAGACGGTAAGTCGGTCTTCGTAAATCGCACCATACGCCCGCCTCACATCCCATCCAGCGCCTAGCTCTTCGTCACAACGACCCGAACTACGTCTTCGACCTCAGAGTCTACATATCCTCGCTCTTGCCGACCTTGAAGTTCCCAAACGGGACTTGGGATTATGCGAAAGTCCGGGATTATATGTCGATGGGGTGGCCGGTTGAGCAGCAGACTAGGAGGGAACTCAAGATGGAAGAACTTGGCCCGTGTCAATGGTGGCACGCCTTACGTGCGTCGCATGCCCAATGTACTCGATAATATCTGACCTTAGCTACAACTTCCTAGGGTATCTGCGAGGCGGTGTCTTGACCCGCGGTGATATCAAGCAAGGCGCCCTGGAGTACTTGAGGCACGCGACGGCGACGTATGCATCATTTTCGTCAACTCGTGCAGCACAATCCGCCGGGCAGGGCATGCCAGCCGACGACGTGCGGAATCGCGCTGTGAACTTCGCCGGCCGTCCCTCTCGTCAAGCTGCAGACGCCTCGCTGGCAGCCCTGCAGGCTGCCATCGTTGTAGACGACCACGACGACGACAACTATGTCCCACCAGCGCCGGCCGGTTCAAATGCGGCGCATGCTGCCCCCGACGCGCAGCATTCGCGAGGCCCCAGTGCTGCTCCCTCGCCGCCCCCGGCCACTACACGCACCGTGATCAAGAAGCCGTCGTCGCCGTGGCTGCGGCCAATTCGTTTTATTGGCGACGTGACGTTCAAGATCATTGACTACGATGCTCATGAAGCTCGGCTATGCAACCGCCCGGCCGGCTCGACCGTGAGGGAGGTGGAGTTATGGGAGTTGCCCGAGATGCACGGTCTTGATCGACGTCGCATACTCATTGTCTTATTTCGGGTAAGTAACCAGTGCACGCATGCAACCGATTGACTGACGGTAAGCTCTTCAGGTACCATGTGGTAGATGTGTCACGGCAGGCTGCCGGTGTATCTATCGGGGTAATGACGCCTGCCTCAACTGCTTCTGGTCGAAATGCAAGTGTAGTGGCGGGACCCCGCCAGATCTGCACAATGCGCTGGTCAGAGCCGCAAAGCCAGACATCACTCTACGTGTGGCGTTGTTGACGAGAATGGAAGCTAAGGGCTTGAAATGGCCCAGCAACATCGAACGCAATGGTTCGTCTTCGCTCGGTGTATATGAACCTGTATCTCACATTCCATAGGCCGCATAACGACGGGTCTGCCCGCTATGAGTCTTGACGACGCAAACGCTGCGCACTCCGCTGCCGCGCCATCGCCGGCTCGGTCTCCCGCTGCCGCACCATCGCCGGCTCGGTCTCCCGCTGCCGCACCATCGCCGGCTCGGTCTCCCGCTCCCGCACCGTCGCCGGCTCGGTCTCCCGCTCCCGCAACGTCGCCGGCTCGGTCTCCCGCCCCCGCACCGTCGCCGATTCCATCGCCCCCCCCTGCCTCTGGGCGCATGCCATGGCCGGCCAACTCCGCTTTGCGCGGCGCAGAGCCGGGGTCGATTGCTCCCGCCGTTGGCGCCCGGCGTGCAAGCTCGTCGCCGAGAGCAGTTGCAGAGCAGGCAGCAGGTGACTGTCTTCCGGGGAGTAGGAGCGAAGCCGATCGCGCGACGCTAGATCACACCTCGTCGGACCAGGCGGCCAGCCGGCCAGATACGCACAATGCGGGCACGATGGCAGCGTCGACGACGGCATCGCAAGGTCCTGCCCCTCAGATATCTGCTATGGCCGGCGCAGCACCGTCGCCGCCCACCGGCAATCAGCATCCCGTGTCATCCCAGCGTCGCGCAGACGAGAGAGACACGCAGGCTATGGTGGCGGTGCAACCCCACGATCACGTTAAAGATGTTGGCGAGGATGGGCCGCGCCAGAAGAAGCATGTCTCATCTTCCGTCACGCGCTCCGTCTCGGGCGAGAGCGTTCGGAGTCAGCCTTCTGCCGAGCATGGCCCTGCTTCACGAGCATCGACAGCAGCGCCGCCGTCACGTCGGTGGACGATGTCGCCAAGCGATGTGAACGATTCCGTCCAGCCGCCCCCTCCGCCGGCTACGAAGGGAGCCGTGAAGGACAAGGGCAAGGCGCCGGCAATCCCGACGGCCGATTCTCGACCACGTCGGCTCGTATTCAACAATATTCCGCCCGGCGGTCGCCCAATACCGCAACTTGGCTCTGTGACCGAATATCCCTTCCGCCCAAGGTCTGGTAAGTGAATATCTGTCATAAACTGCGATCGACATCCTCACGTGCACGGCAGTAATCCCTGATGGCGATATGACCGTCGACGGCGCCCCGAATATCTCGCACCCGCAACCATCGCATGCCATCCCTCCCCTGAGCAGCATGAATCTTCACGGCGACATCATGCTGGCAAATCGTCTCGAGTTCAGCGTACGTCAGGAGTTCCGGGATGGTCGCGAGCAGTTGCGTCACTGGACCACTGGGACTCTACTGCCCGACGTCGTGCTGCCAAAGCTTGCTGCGCAACATGCTCCGACCATGCAGAAGCTTGATAGGCTTCTCGAAGGTCAAAGAGAGGCGAATGCGAAGGTCGAGCGGATGCAGGTGGATCAGATCAGTGTGGGTGAGAGGCAGGCGCGCGTCGAGCAGAGACTTCTGGCGTTGGAGGAGCAACGCTTCGCAGCAGGATCGACGAGATCGGTTCCGAGTGGGCCCAGTGCCCACGGTAGAACGCCGCAGGTGTCTCAGCCGCGGCTTGCAGGTCACGCCAGTCGCGTCGACAGCGCCTCCGAGCAACCTGTTAGTCTGGCAGACGTCGGGCGCCTCATTCTGGGGCTGCAGAGTCAGATGGCCGGCCTCCCAGATCAGTTTCGCCAAGAATGGCAAAAGGAGACGGCAGCCAACGCTGAGTCCCTCGTCGGCATCCGTCAAGATCTCTCGGCGCTCACTAGTCGCATGGATGGCTTTGAGTTGCGCTTCGGCGCCATGGAGATCAGCGTAGATGGCTCAGGACGCAGGGGCGCCGGCAACTCTAACCCTGGCCGTCGCTCAGGGTCGCCAAGCGCCTCAGGCGTAGCTGCGTCAGCACTAGATGGCGACATGATGGAAGATATCCAGCTTCAGCTAGCGGAACGTTCCACCGAGGCGGCCACCGGACCTGACGGGACCTCGTCGGCGCCTGACTTTGGAGACACCCGTGACGGGCATCAAGTTGAGGAACTTACCGCCCCCGGTGCTCCCACGGTCTGCCCTGATGGCGGCGCTCAGATTGCCTTGCCTGCGGCTGCTAACGCCCTGGCACACCCCGGTCATCAGCTCGCTGTAGCGCAGGAAGGAACTGCTGACTGCGGTGGGGTGAGCAGCGGGGGAACCAGGATCGGCACTCCGCCCGGCACCAGTCTGACGCCGAGCCGGGACTTCGCGCCGTCTTCCCACAGCTCGCCGTCTCGGCATCTCCCAGGTTCTCGTTCGTCGTCTGGCACACCAGTCCCGCGGCAGATGCCTGCCCCGGCGCTCGCGCCTGCAACCGCATCGCCCATGTCCCCGCTGAGCGAGGTCTCTGAGCGAGGCGCCTCTTCCCACGAAGACGACGGCGACGAGGAAATGGAGGACGCCGCTGCCTTTAGGGGGCAGAAACGCGGCGCGCAGGACATCGAAGGTGCAGACGCAGCGCCGTCCCCCAAGCGCCCCCGCGCCCCTTCCCCGAGTGGATCCGATGTTGATGCTGAGGGGGATACCGATGCCGAAGATGACCAGACCCTCGTGGCCGACGATAGCCGGTCAGTTGGAACCCGCGGCAGTCGTCGCCGTCGGCCGGCGCCTGGGCCTCCTACGCGTCGTCAACCTCCTCGCAGCGCCGCCTCCGCCTCCGCCCATGTTTGAATTGCCGCCAATCGTATCTCGCCTGTCGCTCTTCTCCGTACTGTTTACCCGTCTCTCTCGTGTCGTCTTCTTTAGCTGTTGCCTTTCGCCGCTTTGTATTACTATCTGGAACGTCTTTCTATCGCCCTTCCCGCTTGATCTCACATCGATTGCTTTACTGTCACCCTGCCCTCACCTTACGCGTAATCTATATATCTTGCAATGTCACGCAACTGGCACATGATTTAGGACTGAAACTTCTTAATTGCAAGAGCAGCGCAGAGGACGATCGTTAAGAGGAAACCGCATCGTTACGGCCGGCGAGGTGGTCGAGATGCTGTAAATCGCCGGCCGTCAACATCATCTGGCGCCACAGGGTTTGTTCCCCTTCCTCCAAAAATGCCGCGCTTTCTCGAAGGCTGGCACGCAGTGCCGCAATCTGGCCAACAATATTCTGAACCGCTTTTGCGAGACTGGGCGTAGTGTCCAAGTGCCGGTTAAAAGCCTGGTCGGGTGCGAAAATCAGCGCGTTTCAACCTCAGCACCTAATAAAGATGCCGACCTCGGAAGACAAATACATGGAAGCGGCAAGCGCCGCTCGTGCTACCCCTGGCTCCTTGCGACTGAGCAGCTTCTTGGTCTCCGCATCGTCGGGATCTTCCCACCAAAACCCAAGGGGTATTGCTGAGGTAGGATCGCGCCCAGTGACGCCGGCCATCTGCATAGCGCAGTCCATGACGGCGGTGATTGTGCTATTGATCGGGTCAAGGTCCTCCCTCCAGGTGAATTCTTCGGCGCCGCAGACGAGGCGATAGCTACCGGAGGGGTTGGACAGGGCGCCAGCTTGACAGAAAGACTTCCACGGCTTCTTCAAAGGCACCCGCCGAATGGCATTTATCCCGCTGATTGCATTGGCCAAAGCCTCCCTCTAACTGAGTCTCGACGCACTCTAACCCTGCACGTAACGACGTACCTCCTCAAACATCAAGCCCTCTTGCACGGCGCTCGAACAGACTATAGGACCCTCAATAAGCGGGTCTATCGCGGTACCAAGTGTCTTGACGATAGCATTGTGCCTAGCAGCATACACAATCCACTCTCTCTCTGCCAGAGACAGCGTCATGGTGGTTCTGACCAAAGGCGCGACATAAGGGGGCGATCGTCATCACCGGTCCGGGGCAATGATCTTCACACGCGCGCATTTCTGTTCCGGAACGGCAAACGTATCTTGGTGCGACGAGAAAATACAGTATATAATGTAAGCGGCGATACGTATGGGAACGCCGACTATACCGCGCAGGGTGAACGTGGAACATGGGTCGACCCCCGCGAAGTCGTTCTCACCGCGTCCAATTCTCTATCAGAGAACGTATGTGTTCGCGGTCTCCTATTAAACCCAGACCTCCAATTATGGCGTCGAGGTGGTCGGACCCACTATCCGGGACGCCGTCGTACAGAGCGCTGTACGTGGCGGCGAAATGAAGCTCCTGATCGACGCACATATTGGTCAACGAGCCTTGCTGTTGTACGAGTTCTTGGCGAAGTGAGTGAATCTGGCCGAGTAGTGTCTCCAAGAGAGTGACGGCGCTCGATATCGTGGAAGCAGGAGTTGACGTAGATGGTGCAGAGCCGCAAGTCCTCTGGCTGATGAAAGGCTACATACGCAATCAGGACGCGCCTTCAGTATGAAAGCAACATCCGCCGTACCTCAGCGTTGAGGTATAAGTGAGCGGCCATCCCGCTCTTCGCGGTCGCGCTTGTCTGAGGGTCGATCGGCCGCTGCGACCGCCACCAGTAGGTATCTGGTCCTCGCCATTCATGCTTGAAGACTTTCTGGAGCAATTCGTCGGCTTCGTCCGCCCACGTAGTGTGAGAAACGGGTTGATATATGGCGTTGATATTGGCCGCGGTAAACTGCCCAGAAGACCACGTCCTTGCTAGGAGAGCCAGACCGCTATCTGGGTCTTTGTATGCGAACCGTTGGACGGCGGCTTGAACAGATTGGTCTGGCGGAAGATCATGTGGAATGTGGTAGATGGCCAGGCCTCTGATTGCAAGGGTCCCGCTGAGCACAGCAGCCAGTGACTAGAGATATGACACGAGGGGTACTCAGCCAGGGAGGTACCACGGATAGCTTTCAACTCACCGCCTCGTATCGCAGCCCCTCTACAAGACCAATTCTATCAAAGCCGCCGTCTGGAAGCGATCGGAGGCGGGGTCCCAACGTCGATAACATATCGGTGAAGCGCCACATGTGTATGTAATTCTCCAACTTATTATCCTGCGGCATGCTGTCAATGCGAACGGTCGCGGATACGACGCCGGGGTGTATGACTTCGTCGGACAAGCCGCTGGCAGCCACGACCATGAGCATTTGCTGCGAGAGGCCCGAGTCGCTGTTTTCCCACCCGAGAGACTCCCACGAAGATTGATCCGTGATGGCGGTACTTAATGCCCAGCGTCTCTCGCGCCGCCTCACGATAAGCCCCACCATGTCGGCCCCGGACGAGGCGCCGTACCCCCACTCAATCATCTGGGAATCTCACTCATGCAGGCTCTGTCTTATTCCGCTGCATTTTACCCCATGGACATACGACGAAGGTGTCATGCTCTCTGTCAAATCTGAGCTAGTAGAGATACAGGAATTTCTTACGCGAAGGGAGGCTGATGCAAGCCTATAGATGTTTCTGACTTCGCTCATCGGCAGCGAACGTCTGAAGACTGGCCAGATGCCCCCTCATTCTCCCATCGTATTGGCGTGGCAGGATTACTTTGACGAGCGTACTCCGGCGTTGCTAGCGGCGATCCCGCGCATTGCTAAGGAGACGATGAAGTCCGCGATGCCGCCGACTGACCAGTCGGGCTTTCCGATGTGGTGGGAGGCGCTCCCCCGGGACTGGCTCTCCTCGAAGCGCATCATAGACCGCCAAGCGCATGGTCCACCCTTTGACCTCAGCGACCATATCATCCGTACGGTCACGGCCGATGTTGGGCGGCGCACGGTTCACCATGTCAGCCTTTCGATGATCATCGAAATCCCTCGTGAGCTAACGAACATCGTTCTCTGATAGGGCGCCGACGCTCAAGTCTACGTCGATAAGATCAAACTCCTCCTCGAGAAGGTGCGCGAGCTCAAACTTGGAGTCTGGGACGTCAGTCGTTCTGTTGAGGCATTGCATGCCGCTGAAGTCGACGCCGTGGCGGCACTGCACCGGGAGAGGCAAAAGGCCGCGACTGTAGCCCAGCGCCGTCATGAGGCGGCGTCAGGGTTACCAGAGGCGCCAGTTCCTTTCTTGGTACCGGTGCCGGAGTACGTCGAGGCCGATGCAGGCTCTGACGTGGAAATAGCGGAGGCCTGATGGGCCATACGCTCGATCCTTCAGGATGCTCGCATCTACGCTGTATCTGTAGAATACGCGCCGTTCTTACGAATCTCACAATACATCACATGCATCTATTGAAGTATGGGTATCCGTGGCGTGTACTGGGAGACGTCGGAAGCGGTGGAAGTTGCCGAGGCGACCGGCAAAATGTGCATGCGCACCGCCTTCGGCAGTATCCGGCTCAATCGGACATGTGATCTTCTCGGGCAGCCGGCACCAGAGAAGTCGGGCGTTCCGGCAATCACCCCCTAAGGTAAGATTGACAGGCGTTTCTTGCTTTCCGCCTCCACCACACTGTACTGGCTAAGCACCCTCAGCATCCCCACCTCTGACTTCTACGACGATAAGGACCAGCGCTATGGCCTTCCAGCATCCCTCGTCGCTCCTAATCAACGGGCTTTCTTTTCGCCTTCAGTCGCGCTGGGCGCCGAGCAAGCGCGCAAAGCATATCTACGATCTTTCGTTCACTCTGCATGACGATCAATACCAGACTAAGATTGCCTCTCTGTCCGCGCATGTCATCCTTCGCGACCTTCTGGGCGCTTCTCGTCGTTTCGGTCGAGAGATGCATGTCGCCTCAATCAGCGCGCGTTTATTCTCCTACTTGTTCGATTCACAGGCTCGTCTGGACAAGAAATATATCTCAGACTCGCTCATGCGTGGTACCGGTGTTTGGGGCCATGAGCTGGACAGGGGAAGCTTCCTCTTCGTGACAGACATAACCGTTGCAGAATCTTACAGGCGGCAGGGTATTGCCTCGCGTCTGCTGAACGAAGTTCTGTCTGTATCATCCGGTCCAATGCGGTTCTCCGCCAGCCGGCGCCGTTCTTCTCGCCCAGTCGTGACTACGTGTGCGTTTGCGGTAGTCTGGCCGGCGTCATCCGAAACCCACATATACTCCGAGGCCGCTCTACAAATGGTTCAAAAAGTCGGTTTCAGACGCATAGGGCGTTCCATCTACCTCTGCAGGGCTCTTCACGACTCTACACACCCTTCTCTTTCGCTTTCCGCTCACGAAGATGCTGAGCCAGCGCCGTTTGAGGTCAAGCAGCCAGGACCGACGGCCGACGGCCGGCCTTCGCCGTATATGACGGAAGCTCTCAATCAGGAATACTGGGCGAATCACATCCGCCCTATACATGCGATCATTGAAGACAAGCTGTACTCTGACAGTTTTATCGTCGATGCTCTGGGCAAGCCTATGACAGAGGAGGAGCGGAGGGAGATCTGCATGCCTGATTCAGACTGGTTCAACTGCACGCCGCTCCACCTCGCGGCCAGCCAGTGTCGGCCGTCGGTCATAGAGAAGCTCTTGTCTATGGGCGCTGGCGAGTGCCTCTTCGCCAGAGACACACAAGGCCGCACGCCCTTAGATTGCGCCACCGAGGAGGAGGAGTCCAGGCGGGATATGCAGATGATCTTCCCCGGCGTTCATATCGGCGGCCCTGAGGGAGGTCACGACACCGCGCTGGGTGCCGACCCTTCCCCGGCTTTCCAGTGCCGGCGAATTCTGCTTACCGCGATGGGGCAGTCCGCTCCCGCTGAGGAACGGCCTCGGAGCCGGTGCACCTGCCGCGCATGCATCGGGTATTGTTTTTCATCGGTCATGTTGCATCAGATTCACTGCAAGTCTATTTATCCCGCTGCAACCGGCGACGCGTTGACTGACATCATCCGAACAGTTCATGCTCTCGAGACTGCCGTAGCAGTGCAGTCCGAGATGGAGGCGTGTCGCCTAGATCAAGCAGGTGTACGCGGCGAGTTGTGGCCGGCATCTAGGATCCCGCCCTTGCGCTTCATCCCCATCTCTATCCGTCAATCAGGTATAAATGCAGCCTTCTTGCACGGATATATCACCGTTCTCCGTGCCATAGCGGATCTGTCGGAGACAAATCTCATCCCAACCCCAGGCGCGGTCATTCATGAAGTGACGGCCTTCGGGTTCTTGGACGAGGAGGCTGGCTACGCCGGCTCGCAGGCAATGCAGGTTTTCCTTGGGAAGGGCGGCAAGGTAGAGCATGCATTGGACGCTGTACTCTTTGCAGCCCAGGTACATGCGCGTCTTTACTGGAATATATTTTGTGTGCTGAATCCACTCCAGGAATCAGGTTCCCCGTTCGCCCGCATCAGTGGAATTCTTGGCGTACGGCAATGCCAGAACGATGACCATTACGCTCTTGTTCGCGCAGAGCTCGACATCGCGGGGGACATTTGCGGCCCATACGAGATGCTATAAAGCTGTCGCGAGTGGGAGATGAGCTTGATATATATTACCAGCGTTGCTTGTCTCCGTTACGGGCGATCGTCAAGGTGATCTGCGCCGGGTACCTTTTGTATCCAGCAGATGTTTGTATGTCTTTACGTCGGTGCCCGTGAGCTGTCCACACCTTCAATCTCGATGTCTTGGGATCGTGTTTGTGTTTGTATCTCGTTTACCGTACATATGTTTCTTTGCTCCCAGTTGGACTGACTGAACATACCTTCTGAACAAAGAAATGTGAACATTGCCTCGAGCTCCAGCGCCGAAGCCATTGACTGCCGGGGGAGACGCTCGGCGTCGGATAGATCTGGGAATCGGCGCCGCGCCGCGCCGCGCAGGTCGCCATGTCAGCGAAGACCGGCTCTCCACTGCCGAGCTGCCGCTGTGCTCGGCAGCAGTAGTCGTTGTGTGAGGGCGCCAATCGCCAATCGCCAATCGCCAATCGCCGAACTATGCGCCTCACGTGCACCGGCGGCACCCGACCGCATATATGGCGCAATGCGGATTCGCGCGCTTGATGGACGTTGCCTCTGCCCACCACCGCCGCGTCCACAGCTGGCCTTGATCAATGTCTCAGACTATTTCCCATAGGGTAATTGCGAATTTTCTGGACGACATTGCCTTGCTCGTTGAAGGTTACTTGTGCGCGCCTGTATCACGCTCTCTGTCGTCGGGGTAACGCTCCCTTAACAGCGAACTAGAAGATTCCGGCGCTCGACTGAGCCGAACATGCGACGCGTACGGCAACCGTGCGCGGGACCGCCGAATGGGACCTGGAGATCTGTGCGTCTTCACTCCGGTTGTTGGCAGCTTCTTCAATCTGTCAATGAAGTCTCCAGGTTAAGAATGACCATGGAGACCTTTGGTACGCGATTCTGGAGCACGTTATCTACGAGGTGGAGGACGATGATGACATCGTGCGCAAGGTAAGTATTTTGTCGATGCCGTGGCCTTGCATTGGGCTGTAAAAATCAGGTGTTCTGCGTATACTGGTGGTCTCGGCGCCAGCTGATCGAAGCCATCGAGGATGGGGAGGTCAACAACCCTGAAGTGTAAGGGAGACTATTCGGTCAAACCCCTGTGCTATGCTGATTCTTTCGTAGACTCTTGTCTCAACTGGCTGACATTGAGGATGATTGGTGGGTTCTGGCCGTCAATCACGCCGACTACATCTTGTCGCAGGAACAAGTCATCAGTACGCGCTGCACTTGTCGTCACGTACCGACATGAACTGATGCCGTTCTCCTCATAGCTGGCGTCACCCAGGAGGAGATGCGTAGTGGAAGACTTGGAAGCTTCGAGCCTGACTACTTCCTGATGATCGAGGACGTGCCCGGCACAGACGTAGGTGATCCCCAGCGCCCGCGCGATTTTAACCTGCTGTCACGTTCGGAGCTCCGAGACTGGTTGTCTACATAGTACTTAGCGTTTTCCCTGTTTACATAAGAGATAGAGATAGCATGGTGCCAAGGTCCTGTGACAAGTGTTATGGCAAATGCCGCGGGATCCTGCCGATCGCGGCCCATACCAGGAATCGTGAGAAATCAGACACGCGTATCTCGACGCATTCGGCGCGTTCACTTCACGACCTGGTCTCGGCGTCCAACATGTCAGGCCATGAATCCGTTCTCCCTGTTTCCCCTCGCCTAGATGGTTTGCCTAATGAACTGGTCTCTGAGATTGCTGTTTGCGGACAACTACTCTGGCTCGCCGCTGCATGCGGCCCCCATGCAGCAGCTACCGACATAACGCGGTCGCCGCCCGTAATATTCGATCGAGACGATTGTCGCGGCGTAACCGCCGCCACGGTTCCGGAGTGTCTGTGGGATGCCCCGCTGCCCCCTCAGCAGCCCGCTCATGCGCTTATGCATACGTGCTCTCGGCTGTATCGCGCTCTGCGGAATAACATCGCAGTCTGGCAACGGACTGCTAACACTCTCTGGCACTCCTTGGGTTGCATGGCAGGGGAGCGCACGCCGGCTCTGGCTTCGCTCGCCGCCGTCGGCGCCCGCTTCCATTACAATAGCGACGTTCTCGTGACTGGACGGGTCTGTTCTTGCATTATCTCCGGAATTCGCCACTTTTACCCCGCCTTGCGGGTCGTCAAGATTTCCCTGCCATGGGCAGATTTCGCTCAGCCGATAAAGCAGACGATCGCACCATTCTTTATATTACACCACAGTCAGGCCGCCAGTCCCCTTGAATACTTTGAACTGGAACTTCACGAGGACCGATACACCTCCGCAGAGTTCATTACTGCACGCAGCAGCCCCGCTGTGAAATACTGTCTGGTGAAGAATCTCTCCGTCTTCTATTATGGATCGCTACTCCGTATACTCCGCATACTTTTTCCTCCTGGAAACTGCCACTACTTCGGCCCGAACCTTCTGAACGCCCTGAACGAATGTCGCGCTCTGGAGTTTCTTACGATAGACGCAGGGAGTTGTGAACTCATCGAGGCCGCTTTAGGCCAGCCCTTCGAAGATGAACTTCCAGATGCCGTTTATCTGCAGTATCTGCAGTATCTACGCCTCGCGCTACTCCCCAGTTTCTGTAGCCAGCTTCTGCAGCGCTTTGTCCTTCCACCGACAATCGATATGCACCTTGAGCCTACCGTAAACTGGAGGGCCGGTGTAGAGCACAACGCCCATGCCACCTCAGCCCCTCTGCCGGCTGGTATCTCTCTGTGGCAGTATGCCGCAGCTCTCGCAGCGCCCGCACAAGCTCGAGCATTGTTCAATATGCCAGCGCAATTCATCGCTCCAGTCAGCGGGAGAGAGTTCGATATTCTCCAAGATCTCTCGATAATTGGTATGGACATTCGACCGGATCCTGCACACCAGCGCAGCTGCGATGAATATATGCTTCCCGAGTCGATTGGGTTTTCCCTGGCGTCGAGCGAGCGCGACATTGCAGACGTTCAAAGGGATGCGACGCGTGGATCTCGGTCCACCGCAGAGGCGCATGAAGGGCTTCGGCCGAGGAGGAGCCTCACAGTGAGAGACGCGGCGATTGGCGCAGGAGATTGGGACCTGATGTTGCGCCAGTGGCCCTCAGGAGTCGGCCTGGCGTTGGTGAAACATGTCGGTCGAACGCTCACGGCGGGTCAAATGCAAACGGCATTTCAAGGTTTTCCGTCTACGCGCCACCTTGTGATTGCCGGCACATCGTGGCTTCCACAAACAGCTCGGGGCTGGGAAGCAGCGCTGAGCGCACTCAGCGGCATCACGCGGCTGACTATTCGAGGAGGGCAGCTTACGAACGTTCAAGCTCTCGTGGAGCACCTGCAGGCCGTGGACAAAACGACGCCGATGCCGCATCTGCAGGGGATATGCTTGCCACGTTACTTGTCCGACGAAGGGGTAGCTTCGGCATCTGTGCTTGCTCTGGCAACCGTATCGAACGCTCCGCGTCGCCTACAATCGGGAGCCTCTGTCATACAGTGGACGTTTGGTACCTGAAGGCCGTTCGCCTTTCTGTCTTGCCCATCTTAATGATGTCGGCGTGTCTTCTGTGTCCTGTATATAGCCGTTGAAACCTCGCGCAATGTCAGCCGGTCCGATCACAAAGGGGGCCGGCGATCATTGTGGGCGGCGATCATACATGAGAAACCAGAGTGCCGCCAAATCGGGGAATGCCCGGCTATATATACCCGCGGGCATTGAAATCTTGTGTGACCCCATTCTCCACCTGCCACCATGTCCTTTTTGCCCCCAGGGCTGCAACTTATGGACGACTGCGCGCAGTACGCAGTAGATTGTTATATCAAGGCAGTCGCGAATGATCTTGGTCGGCCTTGCCCGGTGCCGGTGTCACCTGACACGCTGCCTGACGGCTTTCAGAAGGAACTCCGGGTGTTGGCTTACCGAGTGGCGGAAGCCATGGCAAACCCCTGTACGTCGGTTCATAATCCTAGAAAGAGAGACGGCCTTCATACTTGGCCTGCAGACATGCTCCCATGGGATGCCCTGACCTATAGCGAGGCTGTGGGTGGACAAGATGGGAGGAATGACGAGTTTGAGGCGTCGTTGAAGGACAGGTTTCATCCTCTCGAACTGCAAGAGAGCCTCTCCCGCCCCAGCGCATTCGTCGACACGTCCGGGAAGCTTCAAGGCCTCTACCTCCCCAACGTCATACTGGATGAGCGCCAGGTGACGCTTAGTGCCGGATCCTTGGGCGGTGAGGGGCTGACGGCATCTTTCTCAGGATCAAGTCGCAGACGCCGCGGCCTTGCTGCGTCCAACTATAAACGCCCACCCCCCGAAAGAGACCGATCCCACTCTGCGGAAGGCATGGCGAGACTCACGACTGCTATTCGCAGTCGATGATCGCGATCTGTGCTTTGGGAGGGGCTCAGCGACTCTTTCGCCGGGATGGCTCTCTCAAGGACTTGAGGTTCGGCGCCGCGTTTCCAGCATCGCGAGGCATCTGACCGGTTACCCAGGGTCTCACGGATCCAATACACGTGTCACGCGACTTGGGCGCCAAGTCAGGTAAACGCCAGAACCAGAGGCAGCAGCTGGCGCAGGCGTGGGTGGGGGAGAGTATGGAACTGGGGCTGCTGCTGTCATCTGCGCTGGCGATCGCTCATCCCCAGCAATACCAGGAGACGAAGTTCGCCCTTGCCGCGCTTGCTGCAGACGATGACCACCGGGAGTATATGCGGCATTGGGCTTTCGCCTTCAACGTCATCACGGTCATCGCCAACCGCATGACGCCTTTGCACCGCGATCGCGCCAGCGGCGGTCGAGAGCTCTTTGACGCCCTCCTTAGCATCGGCGGCGGCCGGCGTACAACGTTATCCCTGCCTGGTATAGGCGCTCGGCTGCAGTATGATTCGGGAACCTTGGTACTCATGCACGGGTCCGTCCACCCACACGAAGTATCGCCTTTCGAGATGGAACGGCTATGCATCGCCTGCTACGCAAGACCGGCGGTTCTTCGGCAGTTAGGTCGGCAAAATCCTGAGGCGCCGACGGCTGAAGGCACTATGCCGGCGGGATGGTGGCCAGAGCTGGTGTCCCGACGCCGTCCGGCGTGAAACCAGTAGTAGAGTGGACTAGCCAGTTCAAATCTAGATTACATGATACGATTCGCAGCTTCTCTCTACTGAGACGGTTCGTAAAGTTCCGGCGAAATGATATCCTTTACCTCGGCGTTGAAAGACGCTTTGGCTTTCGCCGCCAGGTCCAACCAAAGGTGCCGCATCTCCAGTGCATGGGCACGATGCCCGGCAAAGTAGTCGTCCCCCTCCTCGGCTGCGGCTGGTATACCTTCATATCGTCTCTGCCAAAACTCCGCGAGAGACGAGTAACCGAGGAAGCATGTCTGCATTTCTCCCTCCAACATGTAAACTTCCTCTTCACAGCGGACGTACGCACATCTGGCGTTGATCCATTTTGTTCGAAAGACTTGGCGGAAAAATACGTGAGCCCAAAGATGAAATCATCTCGATGACATGATGCGTACAATCTCCGATATAAGTCTCGTCATCCAGGGGTTGAGGTGCTGCATCGACGCCCAAGGCGGCGCCCCGATGCGTACTCCAAAACCACGGCAGCTGGAACTTTCCCTGAGTTCGTGTATTGTTGTACATATCGTATGTCGCAGTCGTGCACTTGATGTCGTCGGGGCCGATGGGTCGATACTTCGCCAATAGATCGGCCTTACGTCGCTCCTCTCCAACACCGTGGTCCTGAAGGAGGCGGGTAAGGCGCATCGCCCCTTGGTTGTAGATGCATGCGTGCACCCTCACGTCCTTATTCTGCTCGCGAGTGTGCAGCCAAGCTCGGCTGCGCGCTACGTAGTTGTTCGAATTCTTACCCTTACTCTTGTTCTGTCGCAGCTGCAGGCGGTACGATTGCGCTTGATCTACCACGCCCTCCATCACTTTCTGGATCCGCCAATCCAGCCTGGCGATGCGTAGTTCGAGTTCCGTGACCAAAGCGCGTCTCTCAATCGAGGCGGTCCCATCTTTTCGCGTTGCGTCTCCCTGTCTAGACGACGGCAAGTCTACCGGCTGGAACTCCGCCAGAGGACGGAGATTGTAGCCATGCTCCTGCAGGGTTTCAATATCCCATTCGTCCTCTGGCAAGAGCCTAGACAGCTTCAAAGGTGGCAGATCGTCTGCCGCAATTTCACCCATTATAGATCCCATCTCCCGGTTCGCTTTGAGCCGGCGGTTATGGAATCGCGAGCGCGCGATAGCGGCCGTCCGTCTATCTGTAGCAGACGAGCCCCATCCCTCGCCTCGAGCCTGCATCTTTAACCTAATGGGTAGACGCTCAGTCCTGCCTGTAACTCGCAAGGGTGGATCGCTCACCCTTCCTCTTCCAGATCCAGGCTGGTAATCAACGCCCTAACCACTGCAGTGTCCGGCCTTGCACGGTTCTCCTCCTCCAATAGCCGAACCTCAACGTCCTTTGGCTCGGGACCTGCTACCATTAGAATTCAGCAATTTGCACGTCCTAAGAGTTTCGCACCTTGTTCAATGGCACCTGCCCAGAACTGATCTGCATAATATGGATCTCGAGCACGCTTGCTCTCAAGCCTTATGCGGTCGTTCTCCCATCGGCTCATGTCGTCATCGTCGCAGGACATCGCGAGCCGGCGGCAATGTTGCTCGCGTTCTTGCAATTCATAGCTGAACTTCCGGTGCTTTCGCACCAGGGTTTCTACTGAAAAACTTAGCAAGCCGGCACAATCGAAGGATCGCCCTTTGCAGCTCACCCATCCGGATTATTTTGCCCTGGTTAACGTCGTTCATATGCATATTGATCTTCTCCTCACGCGCCGCCAGAGACATGCCTCTACACGACTGCAAGATAGAATTTAGTAAAGCCCAAAGAGTTTCCAAAATCTCGCCATCTACGATGCCGGACCGCGGAGAATAGACCGGAGCAAACCGCCGGTAGCATTCAAAGACGTGCCCATATATGTGCCAGACGCCCACACCCTGTAACAATTCCCGAAATTCTGGCCAGTCGAGTCCGCTGTGCTGGAATCGCTTGCGCAGGTGCACACCGTACCTGCACCATATATCGTACAGTAATTGGGCGCGACGAATCGGCTCTGTAATCGTGTGTTCGAAGGCCCTGGACAGACTGAAATCGACAGGATGAGATCTGCCGTGACGACGTAAGAATGGTCACTCATTTGGTAGTAGATGACTGCTCACGCTTCGCCGAGATCGAAGTTGTTGGTGCCATTAGCACACAAGCATCCGTGCCTGGAACAAGCCCAAGAGCCAATGCCCTTGATGTCTACAACTCTGCTCCTAGATTTGCCGACGGTAGCTGCTGCCTTATGATCATGGCATGGTCGCTCGTCCTTGTCCTGCCATGGCGTCAGTTTTGTACAGGAAACAGTGAGCCTGTCCACTCACAAGGCCAGGCAAGAGTCTTTTCAGAGCCCTATCGTCAACTGCGTGCTTCATGTGTTCTGCTACCACGTCCGGATGATTGAAGAAGCCGGTGCCAGGATAGAAAGGAACATTATTGCCTGGGCGTTTTGAGATGGTGTGGTCGCCGCTGAAGTTGCCATCATAGCAAAGCGACACGAACAAGCGCCATTCGTCCGGATTCTCTTCCCATTTTCTCGGTATGTTGCTGAAATCTCGACTCTTGCGGGGGCAGACCACGCATTTCCTGACGAGACTGCCTGCTGGGGGATCTTTCCATGACTCTAATGGCTGAGTAGCAAATCCGAAATCGATGAGATTCTGAACGGCAGTGTACTGCCGCGAGACGAGATTTAACTCATGATAGCGATTCTGAATTGACGGTAAGAACGACTGTTTCGACGGATATGTTGAGAGATATAGAAAGTACCGGTGCCAATCGGGGTTCTTGGGGTTCCGTACATCTTCGCAGTTTTCGCATGTAGGACAACGCCGAAGTTTTGCAAACCACGTCGTCAACCGAACGGTACTCGAGACCTTGAAGAGTGAAGGCGGTTGCAGGGTCGTCTGGTGATGCCGGGAAAAGACCGCCGTACTCGAGCAGCTGCCGGTCGTGCGAAGGGGCACCTGGGCACTTGCAGAAGGCGATGCCTAGGCCGTGAATGCTATCGGAGTGGACGACGATGATGGTCCTGAACCCATACATATCCTTCGTGGGTATTGCCGATTTGCCTGCCTGTCGCACCATGCCTGCGTCGTCGGCGTCCAGGCTGACACGCGTCGGAACCTCGGCGTCTTGACGGATGTCTTCGTCGTCTACTGGCCCCAACGGTTGGAAGTCGTCGGCCATAGATGCCCGGGCCGGCATTTTGAGCGTCTCAAGCTCCCCCTCGTCTAGAGTCAGCGGATTTCGAAGGCGCGTCACGTCGTCGTCCGGATTAGGGGCACTCGTGGGATCGCCGTCGGTATCTGGGCGCCGTTTGGGGGCTTCCGTGGTGTGGGCGGAAGAAGAGCTGCTATATGCCGGGGGCTGCCGTGAGTCGAGGAGGGCGAGATCTACATTGTTGCCAGGGTTGCAAGGACAGACGCGAACGCTGCCTTGGCCGAAAGCACCATTGGGACAGAGGTGAAGGGCAATGCCAGCATCTCTTAGCCAAGCCTTCCGGTAGTGTTGGCCTGTCCACCAGCCGACGAGATGATACGGATTCCTCCAGTGATGAGCGCGCAGACAGGGTGTGCAGAAGTCTCTAGACGTTGCGCAATGGGAGCATCTCCATCTTCCAACCCCCATAACACCACAGCTACTGCATCGTAGGTCTGGAGGCGGTGCGTGTCGAAAAGCTATAATAAGATGCGAGTAAGCTCTGGAGAGCTTTTCATTCTCAAAATGTCGCATGTAGTCAACGTATGTCTATACGACTCCATGTCAGCGGATGTCTCCCTCTGTGCTGTCCCACAGACCTTGCCCTGAGTAACCGGCTCTGCCTCCTGCTCCCTCGCGATTCGCTCTACATCGGATGTGTTGAGAGGAAAGCCGTGCTCGTTCACCATAGTATCGCGGCTCAGGCCGTTAAGCACGCCTGTGAAATCATCTGCGCCAGCAGAACCAGGCACAGTAGCCGCGCTGGAACTGGAGGCCAAGGTGGAATGGGACACCACCTCGGGTCCTTGCAAATTTCGAGGTCCAGCAGGTGCGCTGCGGACTTCTGCCTTCACTGAGCGACCTGCAGCCAGTTTCCAAACATCGCTGCCGTCGCCGCCGAAGTCAGGATCGTATTCGACGGTCTTCCTCTTCTTTTTGGGACGCGACGTTGCTGCAGCAGCCAGGCGATCACCTGGAGTCCTATGGGCATGAAGGGGGGCTGGCACACGATTGACATTGCGGGTATTGTGGCTAGTGGTGTGGATGTAATGCTCAGCCATGCCAGGTGATGAGAGTGGAGAGAGAGGCAATGAAGACCGGCGAGACGGTCTGCATCAGACACGTGTTCACATAGTGCAGGACAACAATTACCTTGGTGCCTTTCTCAGGATTGCAAAACTTGCAAACGCAGGGGTGCAGGGGTGCAGGGGTGCAGGGGTGACTGGGTGCGTGTGCC